AAATTTCTAAGGGTCCAATGGGTAGGCATGTCACTGGAAAATTTCAAAAACCCAGGTACTGGCACAGAAAGGTTAGAATTAAAGCCACCCCATTATAAAACAAGTTCAAATTTTTGAAAACACAAATTAATTTACCTTGTGGTTTATCGTTCAAGAGATAAAAGCAGTTTTCCCATTCAAGACCTAACAGCATTCCCTTGAGTATTATTTTTTCCTTAAGGTGTTAGCCAAGCAGTGCATATTGACCCGGGGGGTAGCTTGGGCGTATTTTTTTTTCCAATTCAGACTCCAATTCATTCTCTAGAGTATCATATCTTTGTTTAACAGCTGCTAATCAGAAGACAGATAGACCTCTAGCTAGGCTGGAACGTGTCATTCCCTAGAGTATCATTTCTTTGTTTAACGGTTGCACAMGAGAAAATACAKGAATATGGATGCCATTCAAATAAAGAATTTTATTATCTAGGGAATGACAGTCTGAAATGAGAAAACATTTCTATGCCCAAGGTAAAAAGTCTATTCACTATTTTCCATACATCGGTTCACTGGTCAAACATATAGCATTCAGTCGAGGTTGCAAGGTTCAAATTTGAATAATCCTTTGAAAGTACCTTGGCGCCTCGCTATCAGATATAGAATCACCTTCATGGCCATGATTTCTATTGTTTCTTTCATGAATTATTAATGAGTTTTTTGGTATTCTATGAGGTAAGAATTAGGGGGTGTAAAAACCTAAAAATATATCAGTTGTGAAGCGCAATGAGGTTTTCGTATCCATTTATCGTAAGAAAAATAATTCCACTCAAAATGTCCTTGATTCTGTTGAGGGAGTACTTCTAYCTTGGGCCCCAGTGGCTAGGGTGGGCTAGGGTTGACTCTAAACAATCATAGGATAAAGTTGAGCATGATAGAGTACAAACACTAAAAGTGTGCAACACTTTGCACTATTTAGTAGTAAATAGTGCTAAATAAGCAATAGAAAACAATAAGATTAGCATAATTTAGCAGTATTTATGTTACACACTCATAGTGTTTGTACTCTATCTGCAGGAAAACTTACAGATATTGCATTTTTGAGTTCACACAATATCATAGATTGGCTGAGGGCTCTCGGCCAATGGCAAGCAAGGTAGTAAAATGTATAATAATAATTGACTATTCTTTATTATAGTCCTTGGTACTGTCGCCAAGGGATACCCTAATAGGTGACGGAGGGCTTAGATCTTACATAGAAGCTTAAGCTTGGTCTTCCTCTGGAGTTATGTAGGTCACAGAAATAGCCTACGAAAAGCACTGCTAACTTTTATACAGATCTAAATACCACACTAACTCTCCTCTGATACATGGTATTTGGTTCAAACCACTACATGGGAGTAGCTTTTGTAAGGTCTCACCCTTGATTGAAGGAGTAACTTTCTGTCCAGATTTACTACCTCAACAAGACCTAGGTCATTTCAGGGTTCGATCCTTTGGTTGGCCCCAAGACTATTTTAGGGTTAAATCTGTGAGTTAGCCGTGCCCTGACTATGATCAGCCCAGAGGTTGTTTAAGGGTTCTATCTGAGAGTTAGCCCCACCCTGACTTAGATCAGCCCAGAGGTTGTTTCAGGGTTTGATCTGTGAGTTAGCCATGCCCTGACTTAGATCAGCCCAGAGGTTGTTTCAGGGTTTNTTAGATCAGCCCAGAGGTTGTTTCAGGGTTTGATCTGTGAGTGAGCCATGCCCTGACTTAGATCAGCCCAGAGGTTGCTTCAGGGTTCAATCTGTGAGTTAGCCAGGCCTTGAATTATATCGACCCAGAGGTTGTTTCAGTGTTCGACCTGCGCATTTCTAGTGTGGTGACTTAGATTAACTCAAGTGGTGTTTCCAGGTTCAATCTATAAGTTAGGTGTGATATCTCTGGTCATTTCAGATACAATTTCACTAATAACAGTCTTATCAATCATTAGGCATTTAGTTYTTCCTCTCAATTTCAGCAATGATTTATTCCCAATTAATACTATCAAATAACATATATTACAGATGTTCCTTTCAATCTACTAATTCCATGCTGCGATGAAGATGTAATGAATCATAAACCCACAGGCCGACGAAAATTATAACAATACAGATGKCTGCATTTGTGGGTGGCTAGAAAATATAAAAAAAGCTCATTCAGGGTATGTCTTATYGCCGCACAAGCCGATTGGATAATAGCAACGTCACCAGCATTAGTGGGCATATAGGCATGATATTTAATGATAAATCAATGATGAAATTGAGTTTTATTTGTGGATTACAGAATACATTCCTCAGGATTGTGAAGTTTAATTCTGCTTTCTCCTGAATGAACAACCTGGGGAAAAAAGAAAAATTAACTTCAATTAGTTATACACTGAGCTCAAATAAGGCCACTGCTTCGTATAAATTGCGATTCCCAGTCACACACGCAACCGAGACCAAAATCACAAACGAAAAATTGAGTTTTGGTGGACGTCAATCAAAAGGGTTTCTTAAGCATTACTAAGGATTCCGACTAAGAAATTTCAAACGTTTAACTGCAAACTATCAGTATTGACTTATCTGATCTTGAAGATACTCAAGTCATAGTCAATACCGATAGCTTTGCAGTCAAGCGTTTGAGTTTCGGAGCCAGAATCCTGTGACATTTTTGAGAAAATATGTCCAGAGCAATAAATTCCAGTGACAAGAGGAATATGATAATGGCAACGGTCTTTGCACATTTGCACCTGTTCATGTGAGTATTCACACCAGTCCTGGTGTAGAAACCAATAGAAATGATAGAAAACCCTTTTCACTGATGTCCAACCAAACTAAATTTTTYGATTGCGATGACATTCTAGTTGACATTGCAGCATACACTTAACATATAGACATTCTAGTCGTTCACGTGTGACTGGGAATAGCAGTAACATTACTGTGTAAATCGTATTTCAATAGACCCTCTTAGCTTTGTTTTGCCCATTTCTTATAGTGTGTTTCACTCACGTGACAAGACAGCCATATCGGTGTACCAAATAATAGAAACTTTCTGCACAGTTTTTGAAAAAAAATAAAGTTCAATTTCCGGAGGATAAAACATGTTTCGTTTTGGTACACCAACACGGCCACTGTAACATCACGGGACAAGGCTCTACAACAGCTCAATTTTGGAGGACAAAACAAAAGAATTTCAATCTCCTGAGAATTGGAAACCTATTGTTATGTCCTCCAAATTAAACTGAATTTACATGTGCTGCAAGTGGTCTATATCATGTTTGTGAGACAAAGAAAATTTATCACATCAATAATAGTAAAATTGCAATGATTGGTCAAGATTGCTCTTAAACTGATAAAAATATGGAATTTTGAAACTAAGTATTTTTGTGGAAGTTTTACAAAGAAATATATGCGTCCAGCCTGATAACAAGGCTTGACCTGCATGTGATTGTACATAYATTTCTCTGCAAGAATGCTTAGTTTTACAGTGCCAATCGCAATACCATTGGCACCAAGAATTATTTTAAGCAAATTTCTAAACCAATCAGAAGGGTGTTATTGTTACCTTTACATTATTTTGTGGTTAGAGTAATTTTTGATTGGTCAAAGAACAACAGGGGTGCTAACAGGAAAAACACAAAATTCCAGTTGGAAAACAAATGGTATGTGTCATCTGGATCAGGGCAGTTCCAGAAAATTTGGTCTTCTGTTTGAGGTAATCCAATTTTCTTGCTCTTTTAACTTTTTTCGATAGTTGCATGTACCATTTTTTGAAGGTCAAACTTTTGAAATGCTTTATTACAATTGCCCTATTTCACTATGATGTCACTGCTTGTTTATGTGGGGGATAGAATCGCCAAATCCAATAGAAAATTCAAYGAAATTTGCTTCTAGCGACACAGTTTAATCTAAAATGGCCTGGTTTTCAGATATGTGTCAATATGTACTAAAAAATATTCTGAGCATTTGCTGGCTATTCTACTTCTCTTCCTGGATTGATGTGTTTTAGAACAATTTTCGGTGAGTTTGCATTGATTTGACCCCCTCCGATGACCCTGATCCTTTGCGTCTAAACAATAGATTGTTTTGATGTGACGTGAATGAATTTCCAACCAGATGGATTGGTTTATGGTAAGTACCTCAGAACATTCCTGAGATATTTCTAGGTGCCCACAGTATTTCGATCAGCACTTTAAAAATCTTTTCTGAACTAGATAAGCTTTTTTCATACCTTCTGTCAGACGAGCTCTTCCTCCTGTGGGTTGGCACAACACCATCGAGCAGGAGACACAGAGGACAACAGTCTGTGCATGGCTGAATACAGTTGTGATTTTATAACACCCTATGATAACAACAATAACAACTTTAATTAACATGGTTGAGAGATTTAAGTTTTGAACATTATTCAAGCCTGCAAATTAGCTCCAGACATTGGGCATTTGTTGACCGGACTCTTCTGTTATGTTGTGGATCATTGAAAAAAAAAACATGTTCACTCCAGATTGCAAACCTAGGAGCAGGTGGAAAAGTTTATCTGAACAGTGGAAACGATAGTCACCTTCCAACATGTAGCTATGCTACTATATGCCCACCATTTAAAATGTTATAGCTCATTTGAGTTACATTGGATCAAACTCTGGTTAATGATAAGTCGCCATGCAATCTAAAAAACGCTGTCTCAGAGTATTGAAATGGTTTTGATTCATAGGGGAAACTCCAGTTTCAAGTCTCCTGTTGGTTAAGCTTTGCCTTGGTTTTGTGTAGAATATTCATGTGTTATAGTCAAGGTTCGTGGAATTTCAAAGTGTTTGTATTATAAATAAAAAATAAATCACTTTATTTAAGTGTTTAGTTGTTCTAGCGCTTTCGCACTAATTGGGGACACTTTTTGCTCATACGCACTACCACTACACTTAATATTCACATGTTGATTTTTACAGAGGGAGAAAATCGGAGAAAATCCTTGTAGCATAGGAGAGAACAACACATCAAACAAACTCAATTCACATGTGGCGACCGAAGGTCTCGAACCAGTGACCCGACCCGTTGGACTCACAGTGGTGAAAGAAGACCAATAGCCATGAACGCCACCCATGCTACCCACCAATTGTTGAAGCTATGCATTCTTTACTTTACTGTTGGTATTTGTGAACATTTTGACACTGATATGAGGCGAAGGCTGTTTAAATGTAATCAAGGAACACAGTGGCAATTTGGAACCTGGAAAAGGTCCAAAGGTCTCAGGTATCCTGATACCTTAATGTAAAAATGTTATCCCATGTTATTACCGTGGACTGGTTTGACATAACAATCCACTGTCAGTATCATGGGAGAGTTTAATATAGGCTGAGAACAAGGGCTCCTTATTAGGAAAGTACAAGCAGCTTTGGATTGTCAGCCATTCTCCAATCAATACTTCAGACCAATCTGTTGTGGTACTTCAGTTTCAAATTCTGTTGCTTGATAGAGTTAAAAGTTATACTACTCTTCCCGGTAGACCGAGGTAGTTGTAATTTTTTAATCGCCTTCATAGCGTCTGTTATGTTATCCAGAAGTTCATTTCAAATCGACCACGTGATGCCAATGCTGTACCACGAGGACAAGTTTTTTATACCACGTGATTAAAACTGGACTGAATTTTTGATCACGTGGTGTAAAAAACTTGGTACAACATTGGCATCACGTGGTCRATTTGAAATGTACTTCTGGATAACATAACAGACGCTATGAAGGCGATTAAAAAAATCACAACTGCCTTAGTCTACTGGGAAGAGTAGTATTTGCACTTTTGCACTTATCTAAATGATGAAAATTTTCATTTTTTTACAATTTGGTTGGATTTCAAGGTAAAAATGACTAGTGATGTACAGTTTCATGAACTCAATGACATTATGACTGTTTCCCAATATGTTTTGAGATGCATCTGAACTTTATTGATTGACATAAATTAATGTCCATCCCAAAACAGTCCCTACACCATGAAAAATGTTTGTTGCTTGACATAAATTATTTATGTCCGCCATGAAAATTTTGTCATAAATTTATGTCCATTATGCAACACTACACAATGAGAAATATTTGTTGCTAGACATAAATTTGTCGGCCGTGAAAAGCTACATCATGAGAAATATGCGTTGCTGCACAAATTTATGACTAATTTAGCCTCAATTTTTGTGGAAAAAAGTTCACATGTTCTAGTGAAGCTTCATTTCTGTGTCAAAATATATTATTCACAATTTATCCCATGGGCAAAAAAAAGTAAAGAATGCACAACTTGAACAAAACAAATACTTACTATACTAACTCATACTAATTTTTATTCGGGGAAGGCAAAGTGATTATTRGAGGAATATTCAAATATTCACCATAATCACTGAGCCTGAGGAGAATAATTGTTTTAACATAATTTTAGACTTAAATATCAGAGAAAAGTTGAAATTTAGGATAAAAAACGTTWTAGTATTACTTCAAATCTGGGAAACTTTGGAAAACCTAATTGTTTCAGAATCATCTGTCGCTCAACAAAACACAGCTTGAGAAACTCTATATTCAAGACTAAAATTAGACTATAAAGCAATATTGAACATAGATAAAATAAACAGAATTTGGCAGTGCATATTATTAAGTAAGTTCTCTTTGTGTCGTTGCTGCTTCGTTAAAACAAAATATTGTTTTCATGTGACAACATAATGACAGAGGGCAAATTATAATTAAGGAATATACAACATGCATGCATGCCTCTGTACTGTGATATAAACATGCTGGGAGCTGTAKAGCACAAGAGAAGCAAGCTTAGGGACACGAGTAGTCAAGTGCTCTCTTGCTTTTTGAGTGCTCTACAGCTCCAAGAGCGTTTACTTCTGCAGCCGGCCAATCAGCACATGTTATATTTCAAATATTTTATAATGGCACATACGAATGAAAGTATAAAGAGATGTTTGGAGAAACAAGGTAAACAACACACTTTCTCCTTACCAGGGCATTTTACATCCATGAAATAACTGTTTGGACTTTGAACAAGTCGTTTCAGTTTATGACACCTTTTTTCTTCCTCAAGAGAAGGGTTTAACAGATCTTTGAACAGCTACGGAACAGAAAAACAAACAATTTAGAAAATATATCCTGCCAACCAATCCGGGGGGGGGCTGACCCTGTTCCAGAGTAAAATCGCTGAAATTCATACCCTGTTCCAAAGCAAGATTGCCAAAAATCGTAACCCATTCCGGTATTGCGAAAATGGATACCCTGTTCCAGAGAGGTAATGATGAAAAGGTAAATTATACACTGTGAAAAAGATGAAAAAACTTACTGACAATTCGGACGCTAGTCCTTCGTCAGAGTAAAAGAGGAAGAGAGGAGAGAGCATGATTTCATATACCCTGTCCCAGAGCGAGCGCGATTTTATATACCCTGTTCCAGAGTAGAATTGCTGAAAACCATGCCCTGTTTGGTGGCACGTACCTGTACAGCGAATATAGGGGAGTACCCCCCCCCCCCCCCCCCCCCCCCAGGCAACCAATGCACTATTCAGTGTGCAGTATTTGACCTTTTTTGAAATAGCTCTATGCAAACTCAGCAAAAAATAAGATAAGATATGGCCACTGGACACTATACRATATGTAACTTTTGATTGAGTTTTCAATAAGTTAAAAATTTATATAGAAAACGTGGAATCTAGGCTATTGCACCACGTGAGAGTAATAAACTTGCGAGAATTAAATATACTCCTTCATAGAAATTGTGATCTAAAACAGACAGAAAAATTTCAAAATCACAATTCTAAATAAGCTTTTTTGAAAAATAAAGCAGTTTTATAAAAGGATAATTTTAGTTTTGGAATAAAAATCGTTAAGTCGAGCGTCTATTTGGAAGATTCGCTGATCAAGTTGTTTTCAAATCCTAGAGTAAATGAAGCCTTTTTGCTTCAAAACTTAAACAAAACGGCCTAGAATCACATTATTTCATACAATAATACCTAAAATTCTAACTATGGGACAGCTGATTTGCTAAATTTTAAGCTGATTTTAAGTTATCGATAGTTTTTTCGTAGCTGACTCTCAATGATTATAATTGAAGCTTTGACCATGTGTCTAACGAATACCAATCGAAATCGTCAAATTTTCGACAAATTATTTAACTTTGAAGCGATATTTTTACACAGTTCGAAAGATTGAAGTTTCATCTATCTTCCATGAGGTTTTTGGGGATTTATTTAGGGATTTAGGTGTAGAATTTAGTGCTTTTTTGGAAGGACCTACCGGCATGATTCAAGCTGTTTCACGTCTAAGACCAAAGAGAACGATTTGATCTCAGGGGCGGACCCTCGTGGATCAGGGGCTCGTGTTGCACCACCACAGGTAACCCACGTTTAAGAGGAATTTTTTTTTCAATAACGAGCAATAATGGCAAAAAATGCCAAAAACTAGATTTTCGTATGAGTTTTGATCCCAATTTTCGCTTTTGGTTAACACTCAAAACCTTTTTTAAACGGTTAGAAACTGATGCCTATGATAAAATGCCTGTTTGAAGCGGTATTTTCAATTGTACAAAAATGTATTGTTGCATTTGTGTTAGCGTTTGCTCTATCAGGCTTTTTTATAGAAAATATATGGGAAATAAGCAAATGAAGGCCTAAACCTCATTTTCGATTCAAATTTTTGTTTTCATCGGTCATCTCCAATTCCTAACAAATTAAACTTTCTGAATAACAAGATTTTAGCCTTGTACAACAGCCTTTCTTCAAGAAAATAGTTTTTGGCGCTCACTGCTTGAATACGAAAAGAATTCTCCCTTAATACTTTTATCCATTGTTTATTACCTTATATTATCATCGAGGAAAAAGACAGGTGTTTCACCAGGAGAAGTGACATTTCTGGCAAAATTAGTGTGTTGTTTAGTGTTCTCATGATACTACATACGTGTCCGGAAATTTTTGTATCCGTATCCGGAAATTTTCGAAAACGCTCCGAATACGGATACGTGTGGACGGTCGTATCAGCAAATTTTCGAATACGCTGACGTAAACACGATTTTGCACATGCTCAATAAGAAAAACTATCTGTGAAAGGGAATAGGCACTAGCGTGCATCAGGGCGAATCAAAAAATTTCCGGATACGTGTGGACAGCGAAAACGATTCGAAAACGATTCGAATCGTCTGCGTGTGGACGCGAACATTTTCGTATCTGAAAAAAAAAAAAAAAAAAAAAAATTGCGGATACAGAAATTTCCGGATACGTGTGGACGGGGCCTAAACATAGTCGAAGGCGTTAGGCCTATTTTCAAACTGAAAATTAATTAATCCTGATATGCGCTGATATCATATGCAATTCGGCCAGTTTTGTCATTTGAATAAGCTGTTATGAATAAAAAGTAGATTGATCGCCGAAGCAATGTTCTTGTATGTTAATCTGCGAAGGTACGAATCTACACAATAGATGTCGCTTGAGACAACTAACGAAAATTCGCTCCAATAAATAATCCGTAGTTTACAGACTTCAATGAAGACAAATCAAATAGTATTTCAAAGAAGGTGTTAAAAGGAAAATAAAAGGACGACTAAAACACCTTTCCAGCTAAATTGAGCATTTAAATATGAAATTGAGCGAAATACTTTGAAACCTTAAAATGTCAACACAACTATAAGGACACAGGAAGCCCAAACTCTGGAACTTCAACTAGTATCCACGAGTTCGCCAAAGGGCGGTTTGATTTTTAGTTCTTTTTTTTTTTTTTTTTAATCTTTAAAAGAACGTATCGCTCACAGATTTCTATTGTTTGTCTTCTTATTGATCATGAGATGATGTCTTAAGGTGGCTCGACTGGGTTTTGTTTGTGGCGTACCTTCGAAGTTTGAAGTGGAAATGCGTCGCTGCCAATAAGTTAATTTCAAATAAATTGTTATGACATGTCTAGAGATAGATTCAAGTTTTACATGAAATACAATTTATCACGATCGGAGTTACCATAGCAATACTGTGACGTCATGTCATTTTTTTATACATTCCGTTTTTTTGGCGAAATCAGACGTTTGTTTAAAAAATAGTTTAAAAGTTCTTAAAGTTCATATGTTTGTCTTCAAATTAACGAAGTTTCGAAGATTTGTATGGAAGCGTTTCGAAATAATTGCCATCGGAATTTTTGGGCAACAAAAATGTAAATTGYATAAATTGCATTTCATGTAAAACTTGAATCTATCTCTAGACATGCCATAACAATTTATTTGAAATTAACTTATTGGCAGCGACGCATTTCCCCTTCAAACTTCGAAGGTACGCCACAAACAAAACCCACTCGAGCCGTCTTAGGTGGCTGTCTACTTTTGAACATTCGATTTGAGCCAGGGCGGGAGGAGGSACTCCCTCCTCCCGCCCTGATTTGAGCCCATGATGTGCGCGCGCTCAAAAACCGCTGAAAAATCTACATAATTTATAATACATAATCTATATAATTTTGTTTGTTTATTTATCTATTTAATTAGTTAATTATTTATCTATTTATTTGTTTTGTTTACTATAGAATATCTTAGTTTTAAGTATTTTGCGCGCATGATTGTAACGTTCGTTAGCTCGCGCGCATGTGATTGTTGCTGTCTCGCAATTTTGAATGTTATTTCAATCAGTTTTTCCCTGACGATGGGTTTGTAACCCGAAAGCTCGGGGCAGGAATATGAAAATAGAAATCGTGGATGAAACAAAAAAGTAGTAAAACTACAAGATTTTATTGAAGAACCTCAACCTTGAGCTTCAACAGGGCAAAACCCTCAAATTTTGCACGGTACTCTCTATTTTGTAATAGTTTATTTGAATAAACTCCTAAAAATCTAGGTCATATCAATATTTTAGAAAAAGTTGAATATTCTAACACATAAAAAATCAGATTTTTGTAGGGCATTTTGTTCGACTTTATGAGTTTTTTTAAGAGCACCGAAACTACAAAATACTGACAAATCAATGTATCTATTTGTATTTTCTTCGAAAATATCCACTTCTTATTGTAGAATGATTGACTAGCCTTCATTCGTGCACACATATAGTCTGCAAATAACTATTATCTTATGAATCTTAATTTTTTTCTAATCACTTCCGGTGGCGAAATTTTTGATCCAARAGCTCGCGCGTAGGCTTCCATGAAATGCTGATTATCTCGAAAACAAGCTCGGGGCACCCAATTTTTCTTTCCARATTTGGAATAAGCATTAAATTTCAATTCGGAAAATCGAAGTTTTAAAAAAAAGTTTAATATTTTTTCCAAAAACCACCTCATATATGATCAATAAGTCAAGAAGACAGTCCGAATGGAATTCTATGAGCGATTTGTTAAAAGATAGTACAAAASAATTGTTTTCACTGCACTTTAATTTGGTACCCATAGTTGTGTGAAATAAATATATTATTAGTACTTTTTTATGGATTTAGTAAGAGCACCACACACCTTGAAAATGTATTAAAAACGTACATAGTATTTCAATATAATATGCATATGCCACAATAAATTCCCATTTTCTTTTATTTCAAAATCACTTTTCATGATACCTTAAAATATGTTGCTTTAGATGACCTTGTCGTGTAAATGCCTTATTACAGTATGTACACTTATATGGTTTGACACCTGTATGGAGTCGTTCATGTTTCTTTAGATCACCTTGTTGTATAAATGCCTTGTTACAGTGTGTACACTTGTATGGTTTGACACCTCTATGGATTCGTTCATGATACTTTAGATGAGCTTGGGTTTTAAATGCCTTATCACAGTGTGTACACTTGTATGGTTTGACACCTGTATGGATTCGCTCATGATCCTTTAGATGACCTTGTTGTATAAATGCCTTATCACAGTATGTACACTTGTATGGTTTATATCCTGAGTGGGTTCGTAAGTGCCGTAAAAAAGCTTGTTTCTTTTTCCATGTTTTTTTGCATACAGGGCAAACAAAGTGGGTACTGTGATCACAGTGAACAGCAAACAAATGACTATCATATTCTTCAGCTGTTTGGCAGTTAGTATCACACAAGACACACTTTATTTCCTTGTTTTGATCCACACGTGAACACCCATTATTAGTGTGTCGCTCCAACATATTTGCATAAGGAAACTTCTTTCTGCATATTTTACATTGAAGAGATTCTGAAACAAAGTTAAATAGCTACATTTAGTTTAATCGATATCATTTGCCAGACCCCGGGTAATCTGCGGGAATTTCTGAGATTCCCTCAACTGTACCTAGTGGATTGTGTAAGCCCCCCCAAAAAACAATGTATAGAGCGTTTTCACTCATGTGAGAAGGCAGCCATAAACAATAGAAACTTCCTGCACAGTATTGGCATAAAAATAGAGTTCAAATTTCAGGAGGATAAAAAATGTATTGTTTTGGTACCCCATAATGGCACTCTCACGTATTCTCACGGGCATTTTGAATGCCTTATTCACTGATGAAAGCTCAATCTTTAGGCTCCATGCTTTCTCATTCCAAAAATTCAGAACTTTATTCATATTTCCGCTCTCATAAAGATGATTACATAATGCCAATAAAAATCAAAGAAGCGATTACATCAAATGAATTACGTGAAAAAAGAAACCGAGCCAATAACCTTTACTTAACTACGTAGATATACGACTGTATGCAAAAGGGTTTAAACAAAAACAATATTTGTATCCTTACCGCCTTGGTCGTCTTGGTCGTCTTGATTTTCTAAAGGAATCCCAAGTTCCTGTGCGTACTTATCCCCATACCACACCAGGAGTTCTGTTCCCTCTGTTATCTGTTTGTAACTGCGGTAGAATATATCGCCTTTATATTGATAAGAGACTAGGTTTTGCTCTGTTTCACATCGGGAGCAATTTACAAATCTCATCCAGTTGGCGTTTGCTTCGTCAGCGCCGTCCACAAAGTGACTGAATTTCCCATCTTTCATGATCTGCAACACAGATTTTCACGCATCAGGATTTTTGTATCAGGGGTGGCGTAGCCTTTCACTTCTGGAGTTTAAGGATCGATTCCTTGACCTGCCTTCACATTTGGGTACAGTTCGTTTCACTAGCGTAGGGAGGGGAGATTTTGTATCGTGGGGGGCGGGCGGTGGGGATGGGGATACGGAGATGAGGTCAAATGTCCCCCAAAACAGTTTACTCTCGACACCAACATCTGATTAGTTCATGCAGGATTCCTGTGAATTTGGCGGGAAAATGGTACATTGGCCCCCTTCCCTCTATAATCGACTGACTGACTGACTGACTGACTGACTGACTGACTGACTGACTGACTGACTGACGGGCATTTCGATCGGGCACAAGTTCAAAACGAAGCACAAAGCCAAATTTCTAAACCGGATGTCAACTAATTACCTATAGGCTTACTGGCCGAGTTTGACTTGCGATTTGAAGGTAGCGTCATGTATAATCTAATACACGAAGCTAAGATTGTCGGGATACACTTTTCTGAACAATTTACCTCCCACACATAACTCGTGTCCGTTTCATCAGCCATGTCTTCTAGTTTTACTTTTGTTCCTCGATATGGACCAAATCTTGACCTGTTTGGAATAAAGCCAGATTTAAGGAACACCCCTAGGCCTGCGTCGGGTATTGTCGACGGCTTTATCTCCAGAAAATCTGGCAAAGATGCTCTTGCGGCTGTTAGTGCGCTATCAACATTTTCCTTAAGCTTATTATCTGGAATAGCTTTTAAAGGACCGTGGTTGGGGCAATCACCGGAGTAGAGGTCTTGGCACTCTTCGCAGTCTATCAGAAAGAAAGAGAGAAATCAAAGCAAAGACTGTCAAACATATTAATAATCGAATAATGAGAAATTAAAAAATAAAATAAGAAGCCCAACTGACATCTCGGCTCACTCGCTCCAGTGCTCTTCGGTCGTATAGGTCTAGTTATACCGCCAAGAAATACTGGCGCGAGAGAGCGTCTGGCATCCATAATACCCAATGAAAGAAACTTAAGTATAGAAAATCTTAGTATATAATCTAGATTTTCCTCCTTCAGTCAAGATCGGCAAAGCCATATGCATATAGCATTTGATCATGAGCTGTTTGTCAGTATTGCGAGTTCTGTCAATCCGCGTTGTAAAAAAATCASCTATAGTATAGCAACCCCGACTGAAAACCAAAGAAAATGCATAAAGCATCTGTGCTGTTTGTCAGTATTTGGAGTTCTGTCAATCGCCTTGTAAAAAATCACCTATAGTATTGCAACCCCGAATGAAAACCAGAGAAAAAGGCGAAATTTGTCTCGAGTTGTCGGGGGGTTAAATAATTAGTGAATAACGTTTTCCTTTACTTGGTTATGACCCTCACTGGAAGTATTTTAAAATTAATATGCTTTTGGCTTACATAAGTAATGATCGTCATCTGGTACTTCAGCTTCTCGATAACTTGCTGTCATTGATCTTGTCCTCTTTGGATATCTACTCCCTGGTTCAAGGTTTTGTTTCTCTTTCTCGTCCGTTTCGTCACTAAACAATGAAGCGTCGTTGAGCATCTGTTCGGAGATCTCGGCGAGGTCTTCAAAGTCGTCAGTACTTTGGTTATTTCTTGATCGACTAGTCTGTCAATTATCAAGTTTCACACCTATTTTACCATTTTTAGGCGAAATAGTAAATTGCACTAATAGTTTCGTAAATTTTAAAATAAGCAAAATCGATAAAAAACTGTAAAATTTTCAGTTTTAAAACAAACTTGCATTATATGAATAGACTCTTTTACCTTGGTTGAACTCGTTTGATTGAATTCTAAAAGTAGGTTTCTTTTTGGGCGAAACTCTGTCACAAATAAATGATTGAAATAATAATTCATTCGCACTTTGCACA